AGCTTTATATCCTGACTGGGAACTCTCAGATTTGGCCAGAAAAGTTTTGGAAGGCATCCTTTTCCAAAATAACCCTGTCTCGTCTATGTTAAAAATTTGTTCATCCTAATACCCTCCTTCTTCCACAATTTTCTTCAGAACTTCAGGATATTCATCAGCAGCTTCCTTATCTGCACTAGCTGCTTCCCCTGTAATTCTTACATTGTGCAGGCTTGTTCTTTTCTTGAACTTCTCAAACCATCCAGCACTAGCATGGAACTCCTTTGTCTCGTCTTTGAACTTTTCTTCTTTTAAGATTGAAAAGAGACTTAATGCTTTTTCTTTTATGAGATCAATGCTTAAAGGAATTCTTTTCTGGTTACAGTCCTCTATCCAGATAGTTAGCAATCTTTCTAATTCAATCATGATAACATTTTGATTTCAAGTGGTATGCACACATGATAAGTTTGAAGCAGCTTTACCTTTCATTTTGTATTCATCAGCTTTACCTAAAATTGCTCTTACTGTTGACTCACCTAGTTTGTGCTCTAGGCCTATTTTTGATTTCGAGACACCATCTTCACTTTTTCTTATGATTTCTATTTTTTTCTTCTAAAGGAATAACTTTTCGAGTTTTCCTTACAACTTCACTTTCATCTTCACTAAGTCTTTTGCTTATGTTTAGGAAAAGGTAGTAATAGACAAGTAAAAAAAATTGTCAAAACATTATTTCAAAGATGCACAAATGGCTTGAGTAGTTAGGTTAATAGCAGACAACTAATTACTTAGATGATGTAATAACTAGAGTGTCCACCCCGAGGCAATAATTTTTTACCCCGGGGAACGGGTTCCCCGTGAAAAAAAATTTAACCCGAGGTAAAAAATATTTGAAATAAAAGATACTTGATTAAGATTTTTATTGATTTATAAATCATATTTAAAAAAATATCAAACAAATAACAAGACTGACAAAGTTTTATCACTTATTTGTTCAAGCTTGTCGTAAAAGTAAGCAGATCTGGAAAATCTCACAGTATAAAAAAACATGTTGCAGAATTTAAGTCTAATCGAATACTCAAACGTCACTGTCAAAATACCTCTATAAGACGTCATTTTTATTAAGTTTAAAGCATTATAATAAAAAATTCTTTAGTTAGCTCAAATC